TAAATCATAGGATCACTATTCTCAACCCAACTTTGTCACTTGAAAATCCGGGGCTGGCAGAGTAGCTCAAGCAGTAAGAGAGCTTGCCTAGCAAGTGTGAGGCCTTGAGTTCAAGCCCCAGTGCTGCCAAAACCAAAACAAAAACCCAAACAAACAAACAAAATTCCTGAACCTGTAACTTGAAAATCCATGCCTTTCCCTCTTGCAGACAGGAGGATCCTGGGAGGCTGGGCAGTGTATCACATGAACTTAAGATGCTTTGCTGAAGTTCGGGTTCTTGAAAGTTTGTGAATTAAGGAAAATGTCTTCTTACAAAGAGCTAACTTAAGGATTTTTATTCCACTATTGAAAAGGAAAATAAAAAGCAGACTGTATGAACCTGGAAAACTGGTGGAAATTTGAAGAAATTGATCTGATTGAGGTTTTTTTGAGGGGTGGGAGGAGGAGGTGGCCCAAACAATGTATACACCTGTGAGTAAATGTAAAAACAGTAAAAAAAAATTAAATTAAAAGGCATGGAAAAAATAAAAAACAGATTTTTTTCCACCATCTGCAGGCAGGTGTTCTTCAAATTTTATACCCCTGACTCCCTAAACACCAGAAGTCTGGGTCGAGACTTTAGGGTGAGTGGACTTAACCCATATTCTTTTCTTTTTCCCCTTGATTTTATTTTTTATTACATTTTTATTAGCTTATATTAGTTGTACAGAGGGGTTTCATTGTGACATTTACGTATGTGCTTATAATATATGTTAATTAGATTCACCCCCTCCATCATTCTCCCTCTTCTCCTCCCTTCTTAAAACAATTCCAACAGATTTTATTGTTCTATTTTTATACACATATACACAGTACATTCATCATATTTGTCCTACTTTGCCCTTTCCATTCACCTTTCCCCTTCCACTGGTAGCCACCCTGGACAAGAGCTGTTTTGCATTCCTGTCTTTCATTTTTTAAAGTGTATATTGACTGCTAAGATGGTATTTCACACATGTATATGTTGTACTCTAGTCAGATCAACCCCCTCTATTATTTAGTCTTTCTCTATCACCCTGCTCCCTTATTATTCAACAGCCTTCAGTGCATTTCATTATACTGTCTTCATAGACAGATGCAATGTATTTCGGTATTAGTCAATACTATTCTCTTTTGACCCATATTCTTAGTTCCTCAAAAGCATATCTTTCAGTGAGCACACTGAGGAGGGGCCTGTATCACTGGAAACAACTTCCATCCTACACTTGCTAAAGTTGTTATAAATTGACATTAATTGATGTGAGGCAGAAGAACTAGTAAGATAGCCATAATACAATTGTTTCAATATGTAAATATGGTAAGGGATAGACTAATCCGAAGCAAGCCAGAAGTTTTGTGTGACTGAAAAAGTGACTCAATAAGCTATCTGTCCAGAAAAAGAAACAATCTAAAGAACTGGGGAGGTTTTTTGTGATCTAGTGGGTCAACAATATGTCCAAAAAAAACCAAAAGTTATCCAGGAATGAGACAGTCACAAAAGCACTGTGGTCAAAGACAAGCTTAACCATGCAGAAGTCCCTAACAGGTAGTATAGACTCAGATGACAAGGGAGAAATATCTCTCAGCGAAGAGAAAGGAAAAGCACTAAGAACCCTAGACAAAAGTATGTGGTGGCATGTTTGGGAAAGATGGAGTGGGAGGCAGGTAGCAGACTGACAGCTACTCATTAGTGGTAACATCAAAAATATGTATATCAACATGGACTCCCCTCCCCACTCCCCCCACCAAGAGTATCTCCTGCTTAAGACCTTCTCCAAGAATGTAGAAAGAACGGTCTCCTCAGGAGTTGACTTGGGAGAACCAGGTCCAAATCCCTTTTCTTGACAAAAAAAAAAATGAAGCACTCATGCATCTCCTATTTCCTACCACAAAGGATATCCTGGGTCATGAATGAGAGATGGTCCCCCAATGTCTGCTAGGCAGATTTTTTTCAGAAAAGGGACATAAGCCACCACCAGTCTATGTGGAAAAGTATAAGTTCTTCCACTGATCATGAGATGAGTAACTAATGGATCTCTAGGGAACTTTCTTTTTTCCAAGCACCTTCAAGTCTAATTGCAAAATCTTCATTCATCTATGGGGTCATCCTTAAGATTCTAAAAATAAACTAAATTGACTAGAGATACATGGACAGAAAATTTTTATATATGAGAGCTTTTAGAAATCAAATAAATAAGGCAATTACCAATCTCTATTACGTCAGACATTTTTATTTAAGAAGTATGAAATTTTCTCATTATTAAAACACAAAAGTGCCATCACCAACTCAGTTCCTTAAAGTCTTGTTTCTGCTCCTGTCTGATTGACACAGAACCCATTTCAAGGAACATGTATGACACAGCACCTACCAAAAGTGCTGAAAGATAACACCAATATGGGAGCCCTTGTTCTGAGAAACTACCTTATCTCTCCCAGCCATCTGTGGGTCACATAGCACTGACAGCCAGAGACTCTTAAGAAAAAGACAATAAATATTATTTTATTATTTATTATAAATATGAGTAAATATTGACCTAACATGAGATGACTTTCCATGTGTTAATATGTACCATCCTAGTGATATTTGAACTTATTGAGTCTTCAAGGTATTTTTAATGCTATACTCTTCTGCAGAAATGATGGTAAGGAAACTTTTCTGGAAGGCAATTTGGCACAATTTGCATCAAGAACTGAAAACAGTAATCCTATTTTCAGTAATTTACTTTAAATGAATAAATAAAAATACTAAGACTATGCATAAAGATTTTCATTGTAGAGCTGAGGATGTAGCTCAGTAGATGTTTAAGGCCCTGGGTTTGATTCCTAGCAACACACATACACACACACACACACTCATTTTAACATGTATAATAAAAAAAAATTGTTCACAAAACACTGGATAACATGGGCATGATTTTCCTGATAGGGTATTATACAGCTATTTGAACTTACAATTTTAAATAATTAATAATGCTTAAGGCATTAAGAATGTAAAATGCAGGATTTAAAATTTTATACAGTATTACAATTTTGAAAAAAAATTATATACTTAACACATGTACATAAAGGCTAGGAAAAAGCATATCAACTAATTTACATGAATTAAAATTCATTTTTCTTTATATTTTTATATGACTTCCAGTTTCTTTTTTATATGCAGAATAATTTTTTTTGAAGAACCAGAGGCTAGGCTAAGACAGTCAACTTCCTGTTGTTTTTTGTGGTGTTCAGGATGAAACCCAGGGCCTCCAACATGCTAAACATGCATCGTACCAGTGAGGGCAATACCTCTAGCCACAAGAAGAAACCTTTGAAATATTGTCATGTGGCTGACACTGAGTTAGGAAAATTTTACAAATTATTTAATCTCCATAGCATTGATATCCTGAGAGGTAGATATCTCAGTCCCTATTTTACAGCTGAGTAAATAAGGCTCCACTATTTGAGCGATTTGCGCAGGGTGCCCTGGACTCCAGCCCAGGCCATGCCCAGGTTTCCTGCCACACCACATGCCTTGCCTGCTGCAGCTCCTAGCAGGCCTTTGGGATGTTTACAGGGAAGGCCACTGACAAAACAGAGCTGTGTATAGTTTGCCCAAGAGCAAAGCCTTATTTGCTTTCTAGTCTTCATTTCTTCCTCCCAAAGTAGCAAACACATTTTCCCCCTCAGGTACAAAATAGCCTTCTTCCTTGCTGAGGCTCGAGGTTCCATGCTGAAGCAATTTCAATCCACATGCCCAGCTCCACGTCTGCCCTCTCAGAGCACATTTCCTCATGGCCAAGCTATCAGCTGTCCTGCTTACTGGTTTGGCATTTTGTCAGGTTATAGCAGAAGGACAGGGCAGAACTGCAACCCCCACCTCTTCCAGCCAGCTGGCTCCTTGGTCTCTTCCCTGGATACTAACACAAACAGGCTGTGTGCTCTGGCTCCCTAACTCAAACAAGGGGGGTGGGGTGGGGAGCAAAAACATCCCAACTATGTGAACAATCAGAGGAATATCTGGCAGCACATTTGATCTTTTGTAACTATTTCAGACAACTAGTCAGTGCCTCCAGGCAGCCAGGAGCCTTAACGTTCAGTTGGGTTCCAGGTACTACCTTGGTAGAGTGCCCAACCTCCAGCTAGCTCTGTTCCACATGGGTTCCAGTGACAATAACTGCATGAAGGAGGTAAAGGTGGTATTTTTTTCACCAGTGTTTCAAGGCCTCTTCATCATTTCCTGTTCCCTCCCAGAGGCAGAGACGGGAAGTTACTTGGATGGGGTCACAGCAAGTCAGTAACATTCAGGACTGGAAAATGCTGCTTGGAACACCACTTTATCTTCCAGTACCACAGTTTATAATTTAAAAAAACAGACCTAGGGATTTTTATGTGGGAAGAAGGAGACATGGGGAAAGGCACAAGACATACAAAATGAAGGTGGAAATAATTTGGTCCTTTTTGGTTGACTGTACTGTTTCTGCACCACATAAAAGGATTGCACATTCACAAAAGTTGGAGGAAAAACTGGGTTAAACAGATCAGTTGCTATAGGACTTCTAAAAATCTTTCATGTGCTCATGCACACTCTGAAGTAATGAAAAGTGCTTCTTAGACATAATCAGCTATAAAACTAAGGATTTCATGGCCACCAGGACTACAATGAACAAACTTTGGGAAGTACTGTTCCAGGGTGAGCCCATAGGATCCTGTAAAGGTAAGTAAGGCCAAAACCAAACTCAGTCACTATCTTCAAGACTAAAGTGATACCCAGGTACCAGTGGCTCATGCCTGTAATCCTAGATACAGAGATCAGGAGGATCATGGTTCGAAGCCAGCCTGGGCAAAAAGTTCTCAAGACGCTATCTTGAAAAACAACTCAAAAAAGGGCTGGCAGAGTGGCTCACGTGGTAGAGTGCCTGCCTAACAAGCGTGAGGCTGAGTTTAAACCCTAGTACCACAAAAAGAAAAAAAAAAAAACAAACCCAAACAAAAAAAAACCCAACTGCAGTGTTGGCTCGAACAGGGCTATCAGTCTGGATTCTCCTGTCTATACTTCAAGAGTTTATGATATTTTTCCACTTGTTGGTCAAAACTCCTAGAACAGAACTCTGCTTGGAAAAAGTTCACTGGAGTCAGAAGGTATTTTAGTGACAAGCCCCTGGACTCAGTACCTAGAAGAGGGGCAGCCTTGCTGCTGTGAGAAAGGGGAGAACCATGGCCTATCCAGGCACTTTGGTTCCCTGCAGCTGCTGGACCATCACTGTCTTCCCTAGGTATCAAGGGAGATCCTAAGCCAATTTCCTCCCTGGTTTCGGGAGAGAGAAACTCCTCATCTGCAAATTTTAACTGTACTGAAAATCCTAAGGGAGCAGTCAACACAGTTACCATCTTCTGGGACTCACAGGAAGGGACTGCCTCAGCCCATTCTTTGCTGCAGAGGTCTGGGAACAACTGCTTCTTGACCTTCAGAGGATGGGGGGAGGACTTCTCAAGGTTCCCAGCCCGAGGTGAAAGCTTTTCTTTCTTGGTCTTCTTTGAGTCCCTGTCAGCTTGAGATTGACCAGCCTTTACCTCAGGAGATTCAAACATAACACCTTGGACTCTTGGCCTCTTTAGCCTCCTTTCTAAGAGCCAGAGAGTACTTGGTTTCCTAGGGAAGGAGCCCATGTACTGCTGCACAGAGTCTGGAATCATGGGCATGGAGGGCCTGGGGCTCAGGCTATCCTGAAAATAGTCTTCACAGGGCTGTCGACTGACAATGGGCACTACCCGGCAAGGCTTCAGTGCTGCAACAAAGTCACGAAGCTCAGAGAAAGAGGAATGGTCGGAATAAGGAATGATGTGGATGTCAGGGTGTGGTCTACGGATTTTCCGGCTTGTGGGAAGGATAGCAATGGTAGGGTGAGTCTTGTTCCAGTGTAGCATGGCAGAATGGCAGATCTCCACATGGTCCACAGCATGGATGCGGCCGGCGTTTTCCTCCACTGTGAACACATCAGCCAGGCCCAGCAGCCTTACCAACTCCAGGCGCCGAGGACTCAATACCACCCAGGTCTGAAACTCCAGGGCCAGCTGCTCCAGCAATGATTCCTTTCCCAGGCTGTACAGTCCTGAATAGTGTTAAGGTGTTGGGGAAAAAGTAAGTGAAAGAAGAGATTGAAGCTACTGGAGAATCCTCATAACCAGATGTTTAACAAAAATACAATTCATAAGGAAGTCCAGGGTGTACATCAGGAAGGAAGTGGCGTTTACACTGAAATATGTGGCAAATGCTGGCAGGGACACCCAGAATCCACTTACTCATGCTGTTCAAATGAAAACACCCACCAAGTGTTAGGCACTGTGAAAAATGACAACAAAAAGGTCTCAGCCCTACCAGAAATGGCATCCACATGCAGCCCCAGACATAGTGTGGTGAAGGTCAACATTTGAGATATGCACGCAGCGTGAGGAGGGGACAGAAAAACAGTAACTACCACTTGATGGAGTTAGGGCAAGTTTCATGAAAATGACAGCTGAGCTACACCCTGGAGGATGGTCAGGTTTAAGGGAAGCCACTTAAAGGAAGGAAGGAACTGGTGAGAAATGACACTAGAAAGATAAGCCAATGTATTTGGGGCCTTACACGTACTGCTAAGAAGCTGGGATTTAATTCTGTGAGTGAAGGGAGCCACTGAACAGTCTGAAGCAAGAAAATGGCTAATTCTAATCAGAGGAATAATGTGACCAAAACATGGCTTTAGAAACAAATACATAGCAGTAATCTGAAAAATTTAACTGTGGTTCAAGGCTAGGCAAAAGTTAGTGAGACCCTATCTCAAAAACAAGCTGGACATGGTTGTGCACACCTTGAATTCCAGATACTTGGGAGGCAAAGATAGGAGGATTGAGTTCCAAGGTGGACCCAGCAAAAATGTAAGCTCCTATCTGAAAAACAAACTAAGAGCCAAAGGACTGGGGTGTGGCTCAAGTGGTAGAGTGCTTGCCGAGCAAGCATGAAGGCCTAAATTCAATCCTCAGTACTTCCCCTCAAAACACACAAAAAAGAACCTGTTAAATTTTTTTAAACTAAAGCTGGTTTTCATGTTTTGTTCATGTTTTGTACCACTGTGGCCATTGTGGAATCACTAGAACAAGCAAACTGTTGTTTTCTCAATGCACCTAATTTAAAGCACAACCCTCACCTAAATTTCTGTTCTGAAAATATCACTCAGTCATACAACAAATACTTACTGAATGCCTCTGTGTCAGGCATTAATGTAAGCATGTGGAATACGCCGTAAGCAAGCAGAGTCCTGTCAAGGTGGAACTGAACATTCTAGCGGGGGAGACAGACCATAAAAACTAAATACAATGAAGATGTAAATTATGGAATAAATATTATGAGTATAGTATTATTCTTTTCTACTTAAAACCTTTCAATGGCCCTTTGTTGGCATTAGGATCGAGTTCTAAATGGTTTACCAGCACTCCAACCCCTCCTGTCTTTCCAGCCTCCTTGCCTATTATACACCTGTCACCCTGGCTGACGCTTCTCTGTTCCACAAACACACAAAGCTTCTTCCCACTTCCCCCATGTTCTCAAGGAGTTTAGTGTGTGTGTGTGTGTGTGTGTGTGTGCTCGCGCACGTGCACGCACCAAGGAAAGTGGAGGATAGACAATAAGCAATACCATATTGAAAATGTGTATATTGGGAGGTGATGAGGACTACAAAAAATAAAAAAGTTGAATTGGTACAGGGAGTTGGCAATATGGAAGTGAGGATAGTTGACAGGTTATGATTTTAAATAAAGTGGTCAGGGGAGGTTTCACAGAGAAGGTGAGAGTTCCACAAAGACTTGAAAGATGTGAGAACCTTCAAAGAACAGGTGAAAGAAAAAGGGAACAACTCACCAATCTTTATGTTATGTTGTGGGTGCTTTCGAATGAGCTGGACAATTTGATGAGCAGCTTCTTGCCGGGAAGGAAGGACCAGGGCTGGGTTGCAATTGGTGTTGTCCAGGTATAAAGTATGGATCTGTTTCCCCAGTGTCAGGGCTGGCTCCTTCAGCATGGATGGTGTGTACCGAAAATCACCTAGGAGGATAATATATGGGGGATGGGCAGAGGGTCAGAAGAAAAAAAAAATAGAAGACAGCCTCCAACAGATGGGTGTTTACTTAGTAGATCTGTGGAAAAAACTATGTGTCTTGGCATTGAACTGTGCAGTATATAGTTCTTTTGTGGAAATGTCTCCATCCTACCTCTATTTTTTTTGCTTTGTTTTGTTTTTTGGCGGCACTGGGGTTTGAACACAGGGCCTCACACTTGTTCAAGGCAACAGGCTTATTCAAGGCAGGCACTCTTAACCACTTGAGCCACACTGCCAGCCCTTTTTTGTGATGGTTCTTTCGAGACAGGGTCTTGTGAAATATTTGTTCAGGGCTGGCTTCAAACCTCAAGCCTCCTGATCTCTGCCTAGGATTACAGGTGAGAGCCGTGGGCAACCAGCTCCCTCTTAATTACATATTTTTCACAAGGTTCAGTGGGAAATCAATTGAAAAGGGGTCACTGTGCCTATATGAAATAAAACTAAAAGGCTTCTGCACTTCTATTATGAGTTAAGGCTGCTCAAAAAAAGCAGTAGGCTGGTGGAGTGGGTCAAGTGGTAAAGTACCTGCCTAGTAAGCATTAGGCCCTGAGTTCAAACACTAGTGCCACCAGAAAAAAAACTTCCTCGGTTCTAAGAAAAGTAGTATGTCAGCTGGGAGGACTCCTTGGGAAGCCCACCTGTGTAGAGAATTGTTCCAAAGTATCCTTCAAAGAAAAACATGACTGAGCCAGGGCAGTGATTGGCATCCATGAGGGTTACGGTCATGGTCTCTCGTCCAATTTCATCAAGAGGTAATACGTGGCTCTCACCAACCTCCAGGGCTCGGATCCACTGCTTAGACACCTGAGGAAATAGTTGGTCATTCCAAGTAACCACAGACTCCTCTCCTGGACCAGGGAGTATTCCTTACATGTATCAAAGAAAGATTACCAAGTCCTGAACCACCCTGCAGTAGTACAAGTTGTAATGGGGATTCCTAAGCAATCTGTACTTCCTATTCTGGTTCCCATCCCATCCTTTGTACAACTTTAAACTCAGAATCTGAAGTCTAGCCTGTGATTTTCAAACTTTCTCCTGATCATAATAATCCCTTGGGGGACAACTGGTAGAAAAAATTCCAGCCAAAATTTTCAGGACCTACATCAATCATGTGTACTGGACCAGATGGGTTAAGTTGAGGCTATAAAATCTGTATATTTACTAGCACAGTAGATGGATTTTTGCAGGGGAAGGAAGGGTATTGTGGATCCAACCCAGTGCCTTGCCCTTGCTATGCAAGGGTTCTGCCACCAAGCCACATCTTCAATCCAGGTGGATTCTTTTTTTTTTTTTTTTCAGTACTGGGGCTTGAATTCATGGTCTTCACCTTGAGCCACTCCACCAGCACTTACTTTGTGATGGGTTTTTTTGGAGATAGGGTCTCAGGAACTATTTGCCAGGGGCTGGCTTCGAATTGCGATCCTCCTGATCTTTGCTTCCTGAGTAGCTAGATTACAGGTGTGAGCCACCGGCGCCCTGCTCAGATGGATTCTACGTTTGGGAAACACTGGTCACGTTTTGTAAATAGGAGTAATTCCTTTGGCGAACTAAAAGATGTCTCCAACTTACAGCTGAAGCATCCAGTCGGTCAGTTGGAAGCCTCACTCCTATTCGCGGTTAAAGTGTGTTTCTGGGCTCAAACAACTCCCACTTTGGAAAAACCAGTCCTCCTGGGCCCCCTTTCCGTGACTCCTAGGCTGTGACAGATCGGAAGTCCCCACCCAGGTGCCTGGCCCAGCGCTCAGAGGCCGACTCCAGCCCCCCGCCCCCCATACCTGTAGGTGACGATGCAAGAGGTGGGCAGTGATTGGGGAGCAGTAGAGGGGCCGGGACCAAGTGCTAGACAGGCCCACGGTGTGGTCCGAGTGCAGGTGGGACAGGAAGAAGAGCCGCGCGCCGCCCGCCCGGCGCAGACTCCAGAAGTCCACGGCAATGGGCGTGTGTGGGATCAGGACCCCGTTCATGGTAGCGGGGCTGGAGAGTCACCACGAATGGGGTCTTCACCCGGACAGGGCTCCAGCGTGATGATGCCACCACGGCGCCCCGAGGGAAGACATGCTGGGGCAAAGTCAAGTCTGGAGGCCCTAGGGGAAAACCAACCCAGGAAAGGAATCAATTACTACTAGAGTGGGCAGAAAGAAGGAAGAGGCCAAGCTGGGGAGAGCCGAGGTCCACATCGCGGAAGGGGCCCCTTGGAGCGCCACTCCCCCAGCGCGCGCGCGCGCGGGAGCCGAGGCCGAGCCGGCACTCAAAGCCCGCGCTGCCGGGCGGAGGCAGGCCCAAGTAGTCGATTTCCGATTGCCGGTCGCAGCTCCACCAGAGGGAGCCGCACGGCTGTGCATGGAGGTGAGAGGTTGGGGGAAGGGCGCCCGAAGGTCGGGATCGGGGCTGCGCTCGGCGTTCGTCCGAAGAGTGGCAGCTTCTGAGGGAGGGCGCTCCGCGGGGAGGGGCGGGACTTCCTTAGGGTTGGGCCTATCCATAACGGCAACGGCAGCCAGAACCGGAAAGGGTGGAGTCTGCAGCTTGGCGGCGACAGCGTAGGGAACGCGGCGCGGGGCCTGAAAGTAGTGGGAGGGGTTTGTAGGCGGGGCGAGCAGCAGGCGGTCTGTCGGGCCTAGATATAGGATTTTGCCCGGGAGCCGAGGGTCTTGAGAGGCAAGACGCGATTCGCAGAGGGGGTAGGGTCCGGCCCGCGGAAAGCCGCGGCTGCGACATTTCGCCTTTAGTCTTCATTGATCCACTTCGGCCCACGAGTTGCCTAGGGGTCGGTGGGGGAAGATGCCGTACCTTGGCTCCGAGGACGTGGTGAAGGAGCTGAAGAAGGCGCTGTGTAACCCTCACATTCAGGCTGATAGGCTGCGCTACCGGAATGTCATCCAGCGAGTGATTAGGTATTGCCAGCGTCCCACTCTCCCCGCGCCCTCCCGCCCACCTGGGCTCCCCGCTGCTCCGAAAGAACTTTCGTGCGAGGCAGTGGTATCCTTGCTTTTCCTCCTGCATGTCACGGGCTTTGGCTTGAACAGTTATGGTGCAGTACATTTTTTAGCTCTCAGACCCACATGTCCCACTGCTTGGTTGGCATTTCCACCTGGGTAGCTCATCGAAATATGGCCAGAATAGCACCGGCATTCTCCTCCTCGAACCTGCTCTTCCGCTTCTACTGGTGTTGGTGAATGTTCACCAACTAGCTACTAAGCATGCGAATCAACCTTGATGACAACTGATCATCACAGTCAGATCGTGTGCATAATTGTAAATATATCCATCTTCTTTTTGTTGTTTTGGTTTTAGGCCTTCATTACCAAAGCCAGTTGCAGTGGCTTACTTGAAGATCATTTTGCCTTCCTATTTCAGCTAGAAATTTGCCATTGTTCAAATCTGAACACATAACCCTTCGCCTACCGATGTGATTCACAAATATTAGTAAAAGTCCTTTCCGTTTTCTTTTTTTTAAGATACAGCTCAGCAATTTCAGTATGGTGGGCAGGAACCCAAGAATATGTATTTTTAACGAACATGTTAACTGAATCAAGTATTCTGGTTCCACAGTTTGAGAAACAGTAATGTACAGAATAAAGTCCAAACTTATCATCCAAGGACCAGCCTGCTAATTCCGCTATCTGTAGACTCTCAAAAGAATGCTCCCTTAATCTTCTCAGTGCGTGCCTCATAGCGGGCATTAACAATCATATCTGCCTCCTGAGCTTCCTGATCTTCCAGCTGAAGTGGCTAACATATTACTTCTACAATGGAACATTTTCTGACTTCTCATCAGTGTCAGACCTCTGGGTCCCTCAGTCTGTAGTTTGTATATTACTTCTGTTAAACTATTTATTGTGTTGTAGTTAGTAGTGTTCTTGTCTGGCTCCTTAATTTATCTTGAGTTCACAGATGTCTGAGAGCACGTTTTTAAAGATTATGCCCCCGGAGTATATTCCTGGAATGTAAATGCTGAGTTTCACTGGAATGTACTGGGGATTCAACAGTGTTGAACAACTAGAACAACAGTGCTTAATGCAGGCTCACGTGTGAAGTACTGTGTGACATAATAGACAAGGTATATACAGTTGCATCCTTCTAAGAGTTGGATAAGAGTTGGATAACTAGAACATGGATTAAAAAAATTTGTGGTAGGTTAGGGATTTTGTGTTTTACTTATTCCTGCTACGTGTGTTGGTTTTAGGCACATGACTCAAGGCTTAGACATGTCTGGTGTTTTCATGGAAATGGTGAAGGCCAGTGCCACTGCAGATATTGTTCAGAAGAAGTTGGTTTATCTGTACATGTGCTCATATGCACCCCTGAAGCCAGATCTGGCTCTGCTGGCCATTAACACACTGTGCAAGGACTGCTGGGACCCCAACCCTATGGTGCGTGGGCTGGCACTGAGGAGCATGTGTAGCCTCAGGTGAGCACCCTCTTCCCTGCCTGGTCCTCGGTGCCTGATGAAGTCACAAGGTCAGCAACAGATTTTATTTAACTTTTAATCTTATTTTCTTTTTAAATTTATTGTACAAAATAATAGGTTTCATTATGACATTTTCATACATGTACATAATGTACTTTGATCATATTCTTTCCCCCATCTCCTTCTCCCTCCCACTGGTCTCCTTCCTCTTCATGGGATATATTTTTAATGAAGGCATTTTATTAGCTCTCTTTAATACTAAGAAAAACACTATCGAACCCGAACTCAAATTTTTAGCTATTACTTTGGCTTACTAAACTGTATAATGTGGTTTTATTAAAGGGAGTTTTGTATCCTCACCCTTGGCGAATAGTCCTCAGTTTTGGTAAAAATGTTTATAAACATTTGTGACTATAACATTTTGTGCTATCTGTGCAGCATTATTCCAAATGAAAAGCCATTATGGCTTTTTAAGTTTGGTAGAGGCTTTCTTCAAGTCTTTGTGATCTAATACATGTTCCTTCAGACATGTAAATTACATCTAAACTAAACCCTCTATTAAATGAAGAGGGCCTTAATTATGTCAAAACTAGTATTTCAGGATCTGGCTGACTCTAGGATGTGTTGCTTAGGATGCCTGGTGTGCAGGAATATATCCAACAGCCTATTCTCAATGGTCTGCGGGATAAGGCTTCATATGTCAGGAGGGTAGCAGTACTTGGCTGTGCCAAGATGCATAATCTTCATGGAGACGCTGAAGTGGGTAAGTTGAGTTTCATCTGCCATGATCAGTATTTGTGTTTCCATTACACGTATGACTTTGGAACAAAGTTTGTAGTTTTAGCAGGAAATAATACCACTCTATGTTGCATGTCTCTTTAAGTTGGTATTTTCTGAGGTTAGAGAAATCCTTTCTTTGAGGCCAAAGTGATATCTGTTGTATTAGCTACTTGGACCAGTCTGGAGGGGGAAATTTTTCTGCCTTGCACTTTTTTTTTCTTTCTAACTCCTTTTTTCAGTCTTCTTTTTAAAAATTTAACTTCTTCTTTTTGTCCCTCTCCCCCTTCTTGAAGATAGGATGTCTCATACTTTATCAGTGCCTTTGTTATTTCTGTAGCAGAGAATTTAGCTTTGTCTGCCTGAAGCCATTATTCTGGCTCTGTCACTTTGACTCTGAAGTTTCTCTTTATCTGAGATCTTTTTCTTTTTTATAGATGGTGCCTTGGTAAATGAGTTGTACAGTTTGCTGCGGGACCAGGATCCAATTGTGGTTGTGAACTGCCTGAGGTCTCTAGAGGAAATTCTAAAACAGGAAGGAGGTGTTGTCATTAATAAGCCCATCGCCCACCATCTCTTAAATAGGTTTGGGTGCTTCAGTGCTCTTTTTATTGTGATATCTATCCTGGTGGGATCTGTTATGTACTGATTTAAGGAGATGTCTTGAACAACCTCTTTAGAGTAGGAAAAAGGTTAACTATAACGATTAACTTCCTCACATTTCACCAAGAAGATTTCTTTTATTTGCCTTAGTTTCTTTTGTTGATATACATAGATGACAGAAATGTACTGTGGGGATAGGTTCCTCTCTCTGTACAGTTATTATGTCCCCCAAAGCAAACCATTTGTGTTGTCTTAAAATGTAGAGAATCAGGCTGCGGATATAGCTTAGAGATAAAGTATTTGCCTAGTATGCATGAAGCCCAGGGTTCACCCCAGTACCAGGAAAAACAAAAACCAAAGCCTTTGGATCTGGTATACACTTAGCATGCTTTAGTCTTAGATCAGTATACATTTGTGCTATCATCTCATGTTGAACTTTTTTCTTTTGGCAGAACTGAGGTTTGAACTCAGGGCTTCATGCTTGCTTGGCAGACACTCTTACTGCTTAATCCACTTCACCAGCTCCTGTCTTGAACTTTAAAGCCTATTTTGTGTTCACTTTACATAGTATGTAAACAGAAGGATTTGATTATGGCATGGCCTATCTTAAGAATTCTCCACTTGTTATGAAGAACAGCTGCCTGCTACATGACAGTAGTGTGGAGATGGTCCTGATTTTATTATTAAAATAATGCTTTTGGTTTCTATTTTGGACAGAATGTCAAAACTGGACCAATGGGGTCAGGCTGAAGTTTTGAATTTTCTGCTTCGCTACCAACCCCGCAGTGAAGAGGAACTATTTGACATTCTCAATCTGTTGGACAGCTTTCTCAAGAGCAGCAGCCCAGGCGTGGTGATGGGAGCCACCAAGCTTTTTCTGATCTTGGCAAAAAAGTTTCCCCATGTACAAACTGATGTGCTTGTGCGCGTCAAGGGACCTCTGCTAGCTGCCTGTTCTTCAGAGAGTCGGGAGCTCTGTTTTGCTGCTCTCTGTCATGTGCGCCAAATCTTGCATAGTTTGCCATGTCACTTTAGCAGCCACTACAAAAAGTTTTTTTGCTCCTACTCGGAGCCTCACTATATCAAGCTTCAGAAGGTGGAGGTGCTTTGTGAACTGGTAAACGATGAGAACGTGCAGCAAGTGTTAGAGGAGCTTCGGGGGTACTGCACTGATGTGTCTGCTGACTTTGCACAGGCAGCCATCTTTGCCATAGGTAGGTGTCTGCTGCTTTCCTTTCTTAAGATCCTAGATCAGCCAGCTAAAGAGCTGTAGTCAGAGGAACCATAACGGACAAAAGACTGAATCTTGCTTCAGTGAAAAAGTGCCATGCAGTATAGAATTGGGTCAGTTATTACAAGCAAGATAGGAGATTTTTTTTTTAATCAAGACTGGCATCTCTCTCATGATAGAGAGTATAGATAACTCAAACTACAATTCTTAAAATTTATATTATCTTTTGTTGTCTTTTATCCAAAATATTTTCCTCTATATCATCTTTATCAGTCTTGTGAGGCGGTTATGTAAAGTGGACATTTTAATGATGAAGAAACCCAGGCACAGAAAAGGTTATTAAATTGCCAAAAGGTCATATAGCTCTTGAACTGAGATGGCACTCATTACTCCTGACTGAAAGTCCTGGGTCAATTCACACTGTATATTGAGCTTCTACTGTTGGCTATGTATAGTGCTAAGTATAGACTGACGCAAATAATTCCTAACTGTTACAGACTTTTCATACTACTCTGTAATTTGAAAGGCTAGAGAGACTCAGAAAATGAAAGCAGCTGGAGAGCTAAGGTTTAGAGGGCTTCAAGTAGAGCAGGAAGAGGAACCCTTATACTTGGAATAAAGTATGGTTATTAGAGGCAAAGAAGGTACAAAGTGGCAAGTAAAAATCCTTACTGTTGAGACACTGCTATCAAGTATCTCCAGCAGGAATATTCCTGTACAGGTGCATTGCAACATAAAGAGTGCCTCAGCTGGGTATGGTGGTGCATACCTCTAATCCCAGCACTCAGGAAGCTGAGGCAGGAAGATCATGAGTTTGAGGCCAGCCTGGTGTACACAGTGAGACCCTGTCTCAAAAAAAAAAAAAAAAGATGCCTCATATTTGGCTCATAAATACCTTATACCTTGTTACTATGGGAAATTCTTTTAACCTTGTTCTATGGAAAATTCTTTTCCTATGAACTTTCAATTTTCTAGCTGTCAGTTGAAAAAGCAGTGGATTCATTTTGACAAAGTTCCCTTTAACTTAGATCCTTCTTTCATCAAATGAAGATTTTTTTCTTTTTAAAGGTATCTTTTTTTTTTTTTTTTTAGAGACAGGGTCTCTCCCTGCAGCTCAAGAGCCTTAGAATTTTCTGTATAACCCAGAGTGGCATCAAACTTGTGAACTTCCTGACTGAACCTCCTGAATGCTGGCATTTACGAGGGTGTGCCACCATGTCTGGCTCATTTTGTGTTTGACTAATGGAAAATGATTTCAGAATAATGTGGTAGTATTTGACTTCACAGTTCTCTCTACCTTTCCTTTCTCTGTAGGTGGCATTGCCAGGACTTACACAGATCAGTGTGTACAGATTCTAACAGAGTTGCTGGGGCTTCGACAAGAGCACATTACCACAGGTAATGGCTACCTTCCTAGGATTTTTTTTTTTTTTTTTTGTAAAGTGCCTGGCTGATAATAGTTGCTCAAAAAATATTTTGGGAGCTAGGCAAATATGGTGCACACATATAATACCATCTACTTGGAGGCAGAAACAGGAGGATTGCTGTTTGAGGCCAGCCCAGGCAAAGTTAGCACAAGACTATCTGAAAAACAAACTAAAAGCAAAAGGACTGGGTCATGACTAAAGTGGTAGAGCACTTGCCTAGCATGTGTGAGGCTCTGAGTTCAAATCCTCAGTACTGCAAAAAAAACTTTTTTGTTGAATCAATAATATATAGATTTAAACTTTTCCTTGTGTCACCATCTGTTGTTACCAGAGAAGCATAGGATCAGGGAAGAGAGTATTTAGGCTGTTATGTGTGGACAAGCCTGTACTGTAGATAGCAAAGGTTCCAGGAAGAGCTCGCCTGTCATCTTTATCCCTCTTTTTGCTTTATGGCAGTGTGCTCTAGGCACTTGCTTCTAAGACTGTGATTAAGGTGAGGCAAGCAAGGTGCCTGGGATGCAAAATTTAGGAAGGCACTCACTCTCAGGGTCATGCAAATGCCAACCCTGTGTGTCTTCGTAAATTTTGGACTGGTAGAGTACCTGCTTTGCAAGTGTGAAACCCTGCGTTCAAGCCCCAGTACCAAAAAAAAAAAAAAAAATTGTCACCTTTGCCACCTTGCTTGCTGTCCCACAGTCGCAGCACCACTACCCAACATTTGCATGCAGCATTATATTTTTCAAAGTGCTTTTCCATGTATTAGTTCATTTATCTTTAATCTGTTAAGAATAACATTCATGCAAAAAATAATAGGCCTGAGTTCAAACCCCAGTCCCACCAAAAAAAAAAAGAGAGAAGTTATTGCCCATTTCATTCATTTCTCAATTAATGACCAGCCCTCTAAAACTTATTTCACATTCAGCCAGAATTTCAGTCTGAATGCATGACTGTCTCTAAGATTTTCTGTGAGGAGGCTCTAATTTTGCACTCTTGTATCTTGGACTGTGTTGTAGTGGTGGTGCAGACTTTCCGAGACCTGGTTTGGTTGTGTCCTCAGTGTACTGAAGCTGTGTGTCAGGCCCTGCCCGGCTGTGAGGAGTACATTCAAGATAGCGAGGTACAATGTAATTCTCCTTTACTTCTAAGCATAGAGGAATGCTTAGGACCCTGCCTTCTGAAATGGAATCTGTTCGTTTTGTTTTGTGGTGGTAGGAATCAAACCCAGGGCCTTTTAGATGCTGGGCAGTTGCTCTACCACTGAGCTACACAAATGGAATCTAATTCTTTCTACTCTGAGTTTGAAGTAGAAACTCTTCTGAAGATTGCACTTCAGATTCTCTTTTCGATGTAAATGGCATTTAAATTACAAAAGCAGGGCTTTTCTGTGGTTTTTACTACAAATTCTTTGTTATTATTGTTCTCTTGGACAGTTTTGAGTCAGAAACTTAGACCATGGACTTTTTAGCTGGAATAAGAATCAGGTTTGTAGAATTTTTAAGTTTTGAGTTTTCTCTTAGAATTTTACTTATGTTTATTATACAGAGTATAGTAGGGGTGGGCAAAACAATGCAAGTTGAAATAAATAAAAAAATATATCTTGTCTGTTGGCTCTTGGGCAGAAGCAAAACCAGTGATTCTCTACTATCTCCTGTGATTTGGGTGGCCAAATGTTGAGCATATATTCTTACTTTTACATCCCTAGGGCAAGCAGGCACTTATTTGGTTACTTGGTGTCCATGGGGAAAGAATTCCCAATGCTCCTTATGTGTTAGAGGACTTTGTAGAAAATGTGAAGTCAGAGACATTTCCTGCCGTTAAAATGGAGCTGATCACTGCACTGCTGCGGCTTTTCCTCTCACGCCCTGCTGAGTGCCAAGACATGCTGGGACGTCTGTTATACTACTGCATAGGTAGGTTTTTTCAGAAGGAGATAGTACTTGCTATGACCAATAGGAAAAAAATCTCATAGCTTTCATTGTTTGGTGAGTCATGTCTGGGACCTGAGAAGAAAATGGTTTTTTGTTTTATGCTTCTATTTCTTTCTTTTATTATTAGCATATTATAGTTGTACAGGGGGTACATTGTGACATTTACATAAGTGCATACAATATATCTTAGTTAGATTCAGCCCTTCCATCTTTCTCCTTTATTCTCCCTCCCCTGAAAAGAAAACATTAATGCTTCCTAGGGTTTCTCCCTTCTTCATTTTTTTTCTCCTGTTATGGTTGTCACAAAGGTAGGAGGACAGTGTGGTTTTTCTTTTGTCATTGTTGATCTATTTATTTATTTATTTTTTAAGTAACTCACTCTATTGTTTTATCTCAGAGGAGGAAAAGGATATGGCTATACGGGACCGAGGACTCTTCTGTTATCGCCTCCTTTTAGCTGGCATTGATGAAGTTAAGCGGGTCCTGTGTAGTCCTAAATCTGACCCTTCTCTTGGACTTTTGGAGGATCAGGCAGAAAAACCAGTGAATAGCTGGGCTTCAGACTTCAATACACTGGTGCCAGTGTATGGCAAAGCCCGCTGGGCAACTATTTCTAAATGCCAGAAGGTAGAGCATAGTGCTCCAGAGTTTCCTCCCAGTGCATCCTCTGCCACTTCAGGTAAAAATAAATAGTTCTTACTTACTTTACAGGTTTTTTTTTGGTGTAGAGGGGAAGGGAGTACTGGGGCTCGAACTTAGGACTTTGCACTTGTTAGATAACATCTCTTCTATGAGCTTTAGATAACATCTCTTTCTGACTTTTCTAGGGCACCTGATTCCTGAAGAAAACAAGGAGGGAGTACAAGAAATTCCTGATTCTGAAGCTCTCATGCTAGTCCCCAATCGCCAGCTTACTGCTGAATATTTTGAGAAAACTTGGCTTAGCCTTGAAGTTGCTCATCAGCAGGTGTTACCTTGGCAGGGAGAAGTGCCTCCTGACACCCTTCAGATGGCTCTACAAGTAGTGAACATTCAGACCATTGCAATGAGCAGACCTGGTGCTCAGCCATGGAAAGCTTACCTCAGTGCTCAGGATGATACTGGTTGTCTGTTCCTAACAGAACTGCTGTTGGAGCCTAAGAACTCTGAAATGCAGATCTCTATAAAACAAAGTGAGGCAAGAACTGAGACAATGAATAGTTTTATTGCTGTATTAGAAACTGTGATTAGAACAGTTGGAAACATAAAATCATAGCAGATTCTTGCTGCTTGCCCTGAGTGAGATGAATAGCTATGAGAATTACTTAGTTTTTCTCATTAGATATACTTGTAAGTTCAAATGAGACCAGATGCAAAGGAGAATGGAAAATTTAGGAATTTAGAGTCATTTTCTTGCCCAAAGACTACTGACTTACTTCCTTCTTGATTCATAGTGGTGACATTGTAAAGATGGTGTTGGTAAGAAGTTGGGGACAAGGTACAGATAGGATTGGGATTTTTTTCTAATCAATTTGAGATTGAGGTTACTATTTGTGTGTGTAAGAGAGCCTTTGTGTGTGTGTGTGTGTGTGTGTGTGTGTGTGTTCATGGAAGGCAAATGCTCTACCATTGAGCCACCTCCTCTGCTCCTGTGTTACTTATTAAAGATGAGTACTATCTGTGGAAACTGATGGGGGTCATTATTTCTGAGGGTCACTTTTTCTTCAGTAAACCTACTCTTCTCATCATTCCAATTGTGCTCTTTTAGGTGAGGGCCCACATTGCTTTGTACATCTACCGCCCTTTGGCGTATAGTGCTAAAGTACCTCTTCATGTCCTTTCTCACCAATCCTAAAGCACCCTCTTCTGACAAAAGCATACCACAGCATTTTCCTGAGTGCTTTTTCTCACACTTGTACCTTAACACCTGCTTTTAGTTTTTGCCTAGAACATTTCTTTACCCTCCTATCCTCTTTAATTAACACATAGTGAATCTTTCAGTATTCAGCTGAGTTGTAAGCTCTTTCAGGAAGTTTTTTATGCTCCTCACTGCCTTCATTAGAGATCTTGTTCAAGCTGTCAAAGCTTCCAGTGCATACCTGTAGCAGTACTATGGCAGTTGTTTTCTTGTCACTTGTCATTTTTTATTTTATTCGTACCTAAACACACTTTATTCATTAATCAAGACCACTAATAAGAACAGATATAATAAAATGATGACAAATATCAATAAGACTATATTGTTCAAAAATAAGAAAATGAAAATACCAATTAAGACAAGTTGGGTTGGGGATGGGAAAATACACAAATGTTCAGACCGTAAGGGCCCAGATAATGAGCCTCAGATTTGGCTCAGTAGGTGACTTGGCAGTCTGAGTGAAGGAAAACAGTTATATAATTGTCATCAGAGAGGAAAAAACATTCCAATTTTAATTTGTAAGAGAAATTTACATGTAGTTTCATATAGATGGCACAAAGTGATATATGCAGGATTCTGAAGGTTTCATAAAACTGTTACAGTGTTCTTTAGTGAAAGCAGAGTGCATAACTTAAACATGGAGCTTAATTAAGGCATATCAAAGATGTAAGATAATATTCTTCATTATCTAGCTTAATTCAAGGACTTCTACTGCCTATAGGAGTAAACTGCATGTCCTATCACTTCTCCCAACTAGGCTCTTCATAGGAGTATACAACAGATAATAGTGAATTTTCTAGCAAGAGCCTGGGTTTTATGATTTGTATATTAAAGGGTCTTCCCCTGAATAACTTTCTAAGGACAGCAAATATCTTACTTTCTTCTGTCTCCACAGTACCTGCCATATGCATTAGTAAAGTAACTGAATGAATAGCTATAAGTAATTAGATTCTGATGGCATTCTGAGATTGGTGTTTGCAGTGTTTTATTATCTTGTGTCAACTATAGAAAATACTGGAATTTCATTTATACCAGAATTTCTTAAAAGTGCCAGTATTGACACTTGGGGAAGAATAATTCTTTGTGCACAGTAGGATGATTATTAGCAGCATCACGACCTCTACCTAGTGGATGTCAATATACATCCCAGTTGTGACAACTAAAAATGTCTTCAGGCATTTCCAAAGATCTTTGTAGGGCAACATCGCCCCTATTTAAGAACCACTAATTAGACTACTAGAAAGGGAGAAAACAGAACAGCTTCAGAATTTCTTTTCCTATATTTTTTATTTGTTCAGTGAATCTATGAATGTCTAGTTAGGTACTAAAAGAAATAAAAGTGTAAAAGTGCTGCCTATTTAGGACAAGGGAATAGGATGCAGGTATGGAAAATGAGTAAATAGATTTACTTTTAATAATTACAGACTAGCTGGATTGTCAACCTAAAGAAAATTAGGTATGGCTCACCAATGGAATAAATAATGTTACTAAAGTAATTCCAACTGATGGAGCTTTATAAAGATTAAGTTCTGCTTGGTCACTTTTTAAGTGTGAGAGGCATACATAGTAGAGTATGAAGTTGTTTTTTCTAAGTGTACTTTTAAAATGATCTCAACAAAGAACTGATCTCTCCTGTTTGGCTTTACTAATTTATAAGCAAAATGACAAAAGCTCAAATGTACCATGAAGTTAATTCTTTAATGAACTTGCTAGCTTCCACAGACATGTAGTTTGATGTTACGACATAAATGGATGCCTATCTTTCAAAATCCATGAGGGGAGTTGATACTGTGTTCTTAAAACAATGGACTTGGTTGGCAGGTAAGCAGTATATAATTCACATAATGAGTGCCCTGGAAGACAGTAGTGTTTCAGAATATTGCAGAAGCAATCATTTGTATGGTTACTAATAGTTCTATTGTCATGGACTAGTGACAGTTACATCACTCCACTTCCCCCTCTTTTTTAGTGGAAGTTCTATGACAATTATTCTTTTTCTCAGATATTGGGAATTTGGGGGAGAGGAAACACATGACTTGGGTTTCCATGTTGAGGGGAGGTGCACCCAAGAATTTGTCCACATTCATAGCTGGTGCAGATGATAAGATCCTGGACTTTGAACCAGGATGGTATAATGAGAAAGCCTTTTGAGTGAGTGAGAAAAAGTGTTTATCAGAGGGTAGCAAAAGAACTAAATGACAATGAAAAAATTTTGGCCTCATCATTTTTCAATAATGATCAGGAACACAATATTAGGACTATAAGTGTGAAGGCATGTGCATTAGTGGGGAAGGGATGGTTAGAGAGGGAGCTACATTGAAGGCTCAGAAAGAAAGAAAAGATAAAACTTATTCCACATTGCCTTACAACATTACTTATTACTCAAGATAATGCAAAGAAGTCAAAATTAGATTCTAAAGATGGCATTTAGATACCACATTTTCTTAATCCATTCATCAGTAGTGGGGCATCTTGGCTATTTCCTTGTGGTATCTATACACAATGGGATTTTATGCAGCCATGAAGAAGAACGAAATGTTATCATTCGCTGGTAAATGGATGGAAGTGGAGAACAGCATTCTGAGTGAGGTTAGCCTGGCCCAAAAGACCAAAAATCCTATGTTCTCCCTCATATGTGGACATTAGATCAAGGGCAACACAACAATGGATTGGACTTTGAGCACATGATAAAAGTGAGAGCACACAAGGGAGAGGTGAGGATAGGTAAGACACCTAAAAAGTTAGCTAGCATTTGTTGCCCTTAACGCAGAGAAACTAAAGCAGATACCTTAAAAGAAACAGAGGCCAATAGGAAAAGGGGACCAGGAACTAGAGAAAAGGGTAGATCAAAAAGAATTAACCTAGAAGGTAACATACGCACAGGAAATTAATGTGAGTCAACTCCCTGTATAGCTATCCTTATCTCAACCAGCAAAACCCTTGTTCCTTCCTATTATTGCTTATACTCTCTCTCAACAAAATTAGAAATAAGGGCAAAATAGTTTCTGCTGGGTATTGAGGGGATGAGGGGGAGAGGGAGGGGGCAGAGTGGGTGGTAAGGGAGGGGGTGGGGGCAGGGGGGAGAAATGACCCAAGCCTTGTATGCACATATGAATAATAAAATAAAAAAAAAAGATGGCATTTACTCATAAGCATATCAATTGTGAAATGAGAAAGAATGTTTATTGTGGGAAAAGCTGGAGTTTGAGGTAAGACCTGGTTTTAAATTTCTATTCTGCCACTTCTGATGTGTGAACTTAGGCAAGCTATTTAACATCAAGTTGGATGGTCAGTTACATTTTTTTGTTGATGTATATCATTTGGGGATTATGTCATAAATGTATTTGTCAGAATCCTTAAGTTGTTGATGGCTCGTTTTAGTGTGAAGGGAAGTTGTCTTACAATTTTTTTCAAGGGCTTTTTTTCTTTCAATGAATCAGAACAAAGTTCCTTTATTACAGTAAACTTTGTAATCTTTAAAAAAAAACTATAATTAATTTATTAATAAACTTGATATAAGAAAAAATTTCAAACAGATACCAAAAGGTAAAAAACCCCACTTTTCTCAGTTGTAAACACACCAACCCACAAAGTATTTGCAGCTTTCATACCACATCCGTATTCATGTGTCAAAACCAGCTCAAAAGCACAACTCACTGATCCAGATCTTAAAAGCTCTAGGGGCTCTTCTGATGTAGGTCGGAAAACTACTTAGTAATAAGTAAAATTTCAGCCCTTTTGTCTTTAGAGAGGAGTGACAGATGATGACATGAAAATGGCCTTTAAAAGGAACTTAATTTTTGTTCCTAGTCCCAAGACAATTATGACATTTTTTAAAATTAAGACTTGGGTTTAAGACCAATTTATAGGTTTCACAGCAAAGTTGAGAGGAATCTGCTCCCATTGTGCACATTATCAACACTCCAGCCAGAGTGGTGCATTTATAACTGATAACTTACCTCATTAGCTTTGTGTGCAAGTCCAGTCATCATCCAGATTCCTCTTTTCATGGCTTGGTACTGCATTTCTTTTTAGAATTGAAGAATATTCCATTGGATGAATCACAATTTATCTACTCCTCTACTGAAGGACATCTTGGTTGCCTCCAAATTTGGGTAATTATGAATAAAGCTTCCATAAATATCTAAGTGCAAGTTTTTGTGTGAACATAAATTTTCATTCCTTTAGGTACGTACCAGGAAGTGCAACTGTTGGATTATATGGTAATGCAGGTATGTTTAGTTTTGTAAGAAATCACCAAAATGTCTTCCAAATGGCTGTAGCATTTTGCATTCCCACCAATAATGAAGGAGAGAGTTCCTCTTGCTCCATATCCTCACCAGCAATTGATGTTGTCCATTCTAATAGATGGGTAGTAGTCATTTGTTCTTTTGTAATGAACAGAAACAATATTGGCTCTATTTTGTAAGATAAAAATGCCATTTTATAAACAAAAAAAATTTCATGCTTGAATCTCTTATTAGTTGGAGTTGTTAATAACTTCGCCATGTCGGACAGGTTTGAGGGTTAGGTTTGCTATAGGTTTGAGTGCTGCTTCTGAGACCCAGCTCCAAAATCCAGGTTTAGCTGTTTGAGAAGGCTGCGGCTGCAGGTAAGTTGTCTGTTCCTTGAAAATTTTAATGGTGTCTAATCTTTTAGAAAAATCCTTTTGTTAGTGAATCTCTATTCCCTTTTTATCATAGTCATTAAGCCTTGGACTAAATGGAAAATATTTAACAGTTACTGCATGCCACACAATGTTAGGTCATTCCATGTAACATCATTTTATTTAATTCTCATAATTTCCCAGATAATACTTTTTATTAACACTATTTTTTTTTTTTTTTTTTTTTTGGACACAGGATCTTGCTGTGTAGCCCAGGCTGGCCCTTCAACTTCCCAAGTTCTGGGACAATAGGCAGCAAAACTACACCTGGCTTCTTCCTAGCCTTTGTATGTGTCATCCCTTCCACCTCAAAGTTATCTCAGATGTTACTACTGTAAGGAAGCCTTCCCAGTCCCCTACATTTGTTTCCCGATTACACTGTCAGTGTACTGCATCTCAACAGCACAAAAAATGATGTGATTAGTTATTGTATCTGCTGAATTGAAAGCTGTATAACATAGGAACTGTGCCCATGTCATTTTTCTGTGTTATTTGCCGTACCAAGTATAATTCTGTTAACGAGCTGAGTAGTCTAAGAAGACACTAGTCCAGAATACTTCGAGTCCTGTGTCACCTGAATAGAGAGTTAGACAGAAACACAAACTGCAAAATAGTAGCAAAACTTTATTGGAAGCAAAGAAAAGAAATAATGAGGAAAAAGAAAAGAACTGCTGGAAAAGCAGTGGGCCCCTGCCTGATGGCAAGGAGGCATTGATCAGCAAAACTTTATTGAAAGAAAAGAAAGAAGCACCACAAAGGAAGTGCTGGGCCCTTGGCAGTTGGCACAGAAGCATTGATTTCTTTGTTTAAGTCCAATTCATAAGTTGTAAGGTGGGAAAAACTAGGCAGTCCTTAGGAGGAGGGGCTAGAGTGGCTGCTGGTATATGTAACACAGCCTTACCACATACTGTTGGGGTACTTTAACTTGCAGCCCACCTAGCCTAAAAATCAGCTATAACTGGCATGACCCTTGGGTAACCTCGTGAAGAGGAAGATAGCCTTGAAACGGGGTTGTAAAACATGGTAAACTGTCAATTAAAAGCTGTAACTTCCGGCAGAGCTGTGAGGAATTTCCCATTAGAGCCATGCAAAAGTTTGGACCGAGATGAGAGGCACCATGCAGAGATAAGCACACATCCTGCCTTTCTTTGGCTTCCACTTGTAAAATAAACTTTCCAAAACAGTACTTCCCCTGCTGTTTCTTATCTAAACCTTAGGTTTCTATTCCACTACTAGCCCCAATTTATGGAGACACGCTTCCTTCATTAACCTGATAAGTAAACCCTCTGTGTTTCCCCAGTTCCCAAAAAAATATTACCCCACCACCAGATGTGGGCAAGATCAGGAAAATGTGACCCCCAGGGCAATGAGGATTCCTATGTATGATGATTGATGCTTTCAAGAATATAAGACCTGCTTAAACTTTGCCTCAGGTCCTTGTTGAAACCTGCTTGTTGTCAGGCGATGCTCAGACCCTAGCTAGCTAGAAAAATAAACCTCGCCTTGTGACTTCCTTTGTCTCGAGTGTCCTTTGTCCTCTCAGAAGGTGGCCGGCCTCCTCAGTCAAAAGAACAATGCAGGAGGTATCACAATACCTGACTTCAAACTATATTCAAAGCAACAAGTTATAAAAACAGCATGGTACTGGCACAAAAACAGACATGAAAGACCAGTGGAACAGAATAGAGGACCAGATATGAAGCCACACAACTATAAGCAACTTATCTTTGACAAAGGAGCTAAAAATATACGATGGAGAAATAGCAGCCTCTTCAACAAAAACTGCTGGAAAACTGGTTAGCAGTCTGCAAAAAAACTGAAACTAGATCCATGTATATCACCTCTATACCAAGAATTAACTCAAAATGGATCAAGGATCTTAATATCAGACCCCAAACTCTTAAGTTGATACAAGAAAGAGTAGGAAATACTCTGGAGTTAGTAGGTATAGTAAGAACTTTCTCAATGAAACCCAGCAGCACAGCAACTAAGAGATAGCATAGATAAATGGGACCTCATAAAACTAAAAAGCTTCTGTTCATCAAAGAAATGGTCTCTAAACTGAAGAGAACACCCACAGAGTGGGAGAAAATATTTGCCAACTATACATCAGACAAAGGACTGATAACCAGAATATACAGGGAACTTAAAAAACTAAATTCTCCCAAAACTAATGAACCAATAAAGAAATGGGCATGTGAACTAAACAGAACTTTCTCAAAAGAAGAAATTCAAATGGCCAGAAAACACATGAAAAAATGCTCACCATCTCTAGCAATAAAGGAAATGCAAATTAAAACCACACTAAGATTCCACCTCACCCTGTTAGAATAGCCATCATCAGCAACACCACCAACAACAGGTGTTGGCGAGGATGCGGGAAAAGGAACCCTCTTACACTGTTGGTGGGAATGTAGACTAGTACAACCACTCTGGAAAAAATTTGGAGGCTACTTAAAAAGCTGGACATCGATCTACCATTTGATCCAGCAATACCACTCTTGGGGATATACCCAAAAGACTGTTACTCCAGAGGCACCTGCACATCCATGTTTATTGCGCACTATTCACAATAGCCAAGTTATGGAAACAGCCAAGATGCCCAGCACTGACGAATGGATTAAGAAAATGTGGTATCTATACACAATGGAATTTTATGCAGCCATGAAGAAGAACGAAATGTTATCATTCGCTGGTAAATGGATGGAATTGGAGAACATCATTCTGAGTGAGGTTAGCCTGGCCCAAAGACCAAAAATCGTATGTTCTCCTCATATGTGGACATTAGATCAAGGGCAAACACAACAAGGGGATTGGACTATGAGCACATGATAAAAGCGAGAGCACACAAGGGAGGTGAGGATAGGTAAGACACCTAAAAACTAGCTAGCATTTGTTGCCCTTAAGCAGAGAAACTAAAGCAGATACCTTAAAGCAACTGAGGCCAATAGGAAAAGGGGACAGGACTAGAGAAAAGGTTAGATCAAAAAGAATTAACCTAGAAGGTAACACCCACGCACAGGAAATCAATGTGAGTCAATGCCCTGTATAGCTATCTTATCTCAACCAGCAAAACCCTTGTTCCTTCCTATTATTGCTTATACTCTCTCTACAACAAAATTAGATAAGGGCAAAATAGTTTCTGCTGGGTATTGAGGGGGGGAGGGAGGGGGTGGAGTGGGTGGTAAGGGAGGGGTGGGGGCAGGGGGGAGAAATGAACCAAGCCTTGTATGCACATATGAATAATAAAAGAAAAATGAAAAAAAAAAAAAAAAAAAGAAGGTGGCCGGCCTCATACCCTAACAGCACCAAGGGGTGTTCTGTGCCTGTGCTTATGCTACTTTTTAGCCTTTAATTGTATGAGATGTGGCCAATATTCATGAGGTCCTAAGTAAGAGGACTTGCCCTGGAGGGTCAAATTGGGAGCAGTCCCCCCCACCTTTTTTTTTTTAACAAGCAAGGAAGACCCAAAGGTCCCTCTTCTGGACACTATCTTGCAATGATAGTTATGACCACGAGAATCTTTACAACTTAAGAGGATTTCTTGCTCTAGAGATTGTTTAGGGCCAAGCTTGGGTGCCTGTTAGCTTCACTTGCTTTTGAGAAGAGAGCCTCTGGTAAGTTCTTTTCCCTGCCTGCTAACCTGCCTCAGTTCCTTGCACACAGGTGCTGAGTAGTCATTGCATGTCATAATCAGAAGTTGAATGCTGGTCTATTACAACTTCAAAACTTTAAGTTACATCCTACACATAGCCCAGTAGGAAGTATTTCTAAATGATGTTACCCAAGGCTCTTCTTCCTTAGCTCTATTTTAGTTCTAGACTGGCTATCTGGCTATAAAAGCTATTCATTAATCTTCTGCACTGGCTAGGGTGTGGTTCTAAGATATGGAACTGAAAGTCTTCAACAAGTGTCCCCAGTTCATGTGGGTAAGCTCTTGAGAGAAGTGATCCCTTTCTGAGCAGCTATTCTTGAAGAAAGCCAGTGGGAAAAATTCCAGGACTACATGTTTAATTAGGAAACACAAGAGGTTTACCAGTGTTTCTAAACTTCCTGCTGAGCTGAAAACTTCTTGCTTTGTGGAAAAGCTAAACTCAGTAGCAGACATCTAAAATGAAGAGCCCCGGAACTTTTGAGGAGCAAACGGAATGCATCATCAACACTCTGCTCACAGACTTCTTGAACCCAGCATTACAGGTTGCTAACCGGGACCTGTGCTGTCTAGATGAACCAGACTCAGGTAGGCTCTAGCCTGAGGTAGTGACTACAGGTGAATAAGAAAATAAGATTATACTTTCTTTATTTCCTCATAAGTTTCAAAAGAAAACTCTACATTTTTAGCAACACCAAAAGAAAAAGAGATTCTCAATGAAGAGAGATTGTCTGACTATTGCTGTTAAGAGAACATTAAAGTTCTTGGGAGAGAACAAGGCCAAAATTGTTTAAAAGACTACAGAGAACTTTTTCCTATTACCCAGATTTCTGAGACTTGCCATCCCTTCAAGCATTGTGACAAATGTGTTTCCTCTGTCTTAGGAGAGGATTGCTCTTTTGACGTGCCTATCATTGTTGGTCGCCTTCGGATGTTGGGTGATAAGTTCAATGGCGAATTGGAAGCTTCTGCCAAAAACGTCATTAAAGAAACCAATCAGGGAAAGGTTAAGTTTTTGCTTCTTGCTATTGTTGCTGCTCTTTTCTATTTCAAACTTCCGTTTTTTGTTTTATAAACCACTCCTATATACTGTGACTAGGAATGTCCTGTGAAAAGTTTAAGAGCTTATATTTGTCCAAGAAATACAGCAGAAAATGCCAATTGTCAATTCTTTAGACGTTAATTAAAACCGAAGTGGTATAAAGCTGAAAACTCTTGGTGAAGATTGATCAATCTTCATCTTGTCTCCACTTCATTTTTGTCAGAGCTGTGCTTAGTGTGTGTAGAGCATATCTATAGCACTTTAGTCTTGCAAAGTATCTTGTTTTTGTTTGTTGTTGCAGTACTGGGGCTTGAACTCAGGGCCTTCACCTTGAGCCACTCCACCAGCCCTTTTTATGATGGGTATTTTCGAGATAGGTCTCATGAACTATTTGCCCGGGGAAGGCTTCAAACCCTGATCCTCCTGACCTCTGCCCCCTGAATAGCTAGGATTACAGGCATGAGCCACCAGTGCCCAGACAAAGTATCTCTTATGCATGTTTTAATACTTGTTTTGTTGGGGGTGGGCATCTCCCCTGCCCCCCCCTCCAATTACTAGGATCCAGCAGCAAAGTGTATGGAGTCTACAATACATCAAGCCTGATGTAATCAGGGATAAGCCCTTATGGAGGCCCACTGACTTCTCATCAGCATACTGATTGCTGGCAGCAGCACTTAGACTCTGTATTAAATACAGAGACCAAAGATGGTGTTTAGGAGATGTTGCTTATTAATATCAACAGTGACAGCTGATATTAACTCATCACTTACCATGTGCTATCATTATCTCAATTTAATCATTATACCCCTGTATGAATTATCATAGAATCAATTATCCCCCCAGCAACCTCTCCCTATCTGCATATAGCACCATACAATCAACCATCTTACCTACTTTGTTTTTTGCTGTATTCACACAAACTTGAATGGTGCCTGATATGCAGTAGGCCCTCAGTATTTCCTCCTGACTTGTACCGTTTAAGCAGATAAGGAAATAGGCATAGGGAAACAAGTAATAAAGTCACTCTGAAGTGTCAAAGCTAAGATTTGAATTCAGACTGATTCCAGAAGCATATTCTTAATCATTGTGTTTGATTTTTCCTACTGAACAGCGTGAGTAGTGTGCCCATTCTACATTCAGGCAGAACTGGATCAGTTACTCTCAATTGCTTGCCCTGAGACTGTCCTAGGTAGTTGATAGCCGGGTCTACATTTTTCTTCCTTACTTAAAAATAAAAAACAAAGCAACAACAAAAAACCCTTTGAAAGAGTCTCAAGTTCATAGGAAAGTTTTAAGTATAGTACAAAGCATTTCTCTAATCAGGATGTGATATTTCATCATCTCTAATACTTTTCTACTTCTTTCAGAAAGGACAATCTCATATAACCACAATCTAACCATCAAAACCAGGAAATTAACATTATTCTCTCATCCTTGGGTACCATTCAAGTTTTACCAGTTGTCTCAAGTATATTATTTATAGCAAAAAGATGTAAGCCAAGGACTGGAGTGTATGGCTTAAGTGGTAGAGTGTTTGCTTGAACTCAGTAGAGGCCCTGAGTTCAAACTACAGTACTGCCAATAAATAAATACTTTAAAAACTTAGGAGAGAATTGCATATTACATTTAGTTATCATGAATTTTTAGTCTCCTTTAGTCTTTTTCTTGATTTTCATGACCTTGACACTTAAATATTATGGGCTATTTTGTTGAATCTCTTGAATAGATCCAGGATAGCACCTTTAGTGGGGAATATCACAGAAGCTTTGCTGTGTTCTTGTATCCTATCAACTGATACTGATTCCATTGTGTCCCTACTGGTATTGATAACTTTAATCACTTTAGATGGTGTCTGTAAGGCTTCTCCACTGTAAGATTACTCTTTTCCCCTTCTAATAAGTGTTTTATAGAGAAATACTTTGATAATATGTAAATATACTGTAACTCATCAAAATTTCAATCTATTTATCTATTGATTAGCATAAACCTATGAATTCCTATTTTATTCAATGAGTTATCATTAGTTACTATCATTATTTATTTAGATGCTCAAATGATCTCGTATTTAGCTTGTGGGAGTCTTTTTTTAAATCAGGACTGTGTCTGTATGATGTGTCTCTGTCATGCTTCAAGGACTTGCTTAATTTTCAACAGAACATCTTATAATTTCCATGCCAAGTCTGGAGTCATCCATTCTCCAGGGAGCTCTGGTTTCTTTTAATGAAGAATGATGATATTTAGAAACCAAGATGTAGGTACCCTCAAATGTGTATTCATTCCCTTCTCAGCTTGTGTGGGCTCTGACACTCTGACTACTGTTGGCTCCCTTACATCCCAAAAGATCTTCCTTGGCCCCACTTAATTGATTTTTTACCAAATTATTTAGGAAGGGAAAGAGGAAAAATGAAGAACCTTCTTTTTTCTTTTCTTACTTTCTTTTTTTTTGTTTTTACTTGAGCATTTCCTAGACATTTACTAGTCATGCAAACAATACCTTTATAATTTGACTCACTGTATTATAATATACTTAATATTTTTCTTTCAAATCATTTTGTTTTTCCTTCATTTTGTTCATCCTAAGCAATAAAACCTGAAATCATGGGTTTGGTAAGCTACTTACATGTTTTTCTAATATTCATTTAATAGCAAAATAGTAGCCAGGCATGGTGGCACATGCCTGAAATCCCAGCACTCAGGAGGGAAAGGCAGGAAGATCAAGAGTTCAAGACCAGCCTGGGCTACCTGCTGAGACCTATGTTATATAAAAAAAAAAAAACAAGCAAACAAACCCCCCCAAAAAACCTAAGCATGGCCTGAGGGGCATGACTCAAGTGATAGAGAGCTGCCTAGCAAGCACAAGGTACTGAATTCAAACTCCACTACTGCCCAAAACAAAGTAAATCAAAAAATTGAAATGAGAAAAGTTTATCTGCATCCTGCTACCTCAGGTACCACCCTTTGAAGTTCTTTACTGGATTCTTGTATCTGCAGCTTCTTGCATTTTTGAGTCAACTGATGAAGCCTATCTCTCTTCAGGGAGGGGCTATTCTCCAGGACACAGTGCAGTCTCTCAGCAAGACCTGGTGTGCTCAGGATTCCAGTCTAGCTTATGAGAGAGCCTTTCTGGCAGTGTCAGTGAAACTTCTTGAATATGTGGCCCACAAGGCTCCTGAAATGGCAAGACAGGTGGCTATCCCTATGATAGGTATGATCAACGGGAACAGAGCCATCCGAGAGTTCATCCAAGGCCAGGGAGGATGGGTAAGTATGTTGGGGACCCTGGCTTTGCTGGGCATTTGCACTGTTTTGGTATTAATATATGAGACTCTAATTATGACCCCTTTTGTCAGCTGGAAACCAAGCAGGAACACAGGTCTCCTACTTTGAAAGATTTTTGTTGCCATGGAAAAGGGGGGTAAGACAGAAGCTCAGTCTGTAAGGGTTGAACGCCAGAGTTGTGCATGCTAAATTGTTCACTACTGACTCTAAAACTAATCTCCACTTGCTACACACAAACATCTATAAAGTATATTGGTGGTGGAGTTCTAATCCAGCCTGTTTTCACTCTGCTCCTTGGTAAATTTTTGGGTCTTCTTTCCCTAACTTCTTTAGATATGTGTTGAAGTTCAGAATCATCTTAGTACTATCTAACAAAAACAAAAACAAGAAATAACTTGTTAACTTGTAGGAGGCATTCTAAGCCCATGTTCAGTAAGCAGAACTTCTGCTGTTATGAAGTACTCCTCTCCATTTCCAGGACTGGCAGAAGCCATAGTAAGAGCTGTATTCCCTGGAGGTATCTGTTGCTTATTCCCTGGTTTCTTGGTAAGTTCCCAACGATCATCCCTTTGATTGTAGGATTTTCACTGTTTTTCCTAGGAAAATCTGCAGAGCTGAAGAAGTGGAGTTACTCCCCAGATCAACCATCACTTCCTCTTTGACTGATCAGGAGACTGATTTGTGACAATTAAAACAGACAAATAAATCAAAGCTCAGTTTCTTCATCTGGGCAGAACTGAACTTGGCTGAATAAGTTATTTGCTACTGATGGTAAAGTTGCAAACAGCTTCCAGAATCCTACAGAAATTTTATACTTTCTGTTTTTACATGAGTTTTAATGAAGGTTTGTTGAAGCAATGATCTTTAGACACAAAGTAGTGACTTGTTATTAGCAAAATTGCAGACAACAGGACAGGCCTTTGCTAGAGATATTTTGGAAGAAACAGAACACTGGAAACTAATCCTTTAGATTTATCCCTGTCTTTTGGTAATTATCTTGTCTAATAGTAACTTTGCAGTCTAAAGGATGTTGGCAGGGGGTTTTGAGCTGAAAAATATTATTTTAAGTTAAGGATTTTCTTTCAGATCATCCCTAAATTTCATGCAAATGTATGAATTTATTTCATACATTTTAGAGGTTCAAAGCCAAAAGTAGCAGTTTATTCATCTACCCTTCTAGAAAAGTCAAAGAGAAATGACAGCTATTGCATTTGTATTGCCACAGGACGCAGAAAGTGCTGGTCTACATCTGGGACTGCAGGAACACCCCAGTTTAGATGAAGCAGTTGTATACCAAAGAGCTTTACTCAACATGGTTCACATACCACTTGTGAACCTTATCAAACTGCTAATTCTAGCTGGGCCTGGAGGCCACATCTATATCTCAGCACTTGGGAGACAGAGACAAGAGGATCATGATTTCAAAGCCAGCCCAGACAAAATTAATGAGGCCTTATGTCAAAAACAAAATAGAAACAAGGTTGACTTTAGCTCAGATGGTTTCTTGCTCATGCCAGACTTTCAGCCACCAAAATAAAAACCAAAGTGTTGGGGGGATAGTTTAAGTTGTAGATTGCTAGACCCTGGGTTCAATCTCTATTACTGCAAAAATTTTGATTTCTAGGCCTCAAAATTCTTCAATCTATGTATTTGAACTGGGTAGCAAGTGTGATTTAAATTGAATGATAAATGGCAAAGACCAGCAGCCTCCTCTCCCTCTTTGCTTTGCCCTCTTACCATACCAGCTCCTTGTTTTATCTTACATTGCTCATAAAACATCAGACTGTGAATTTACTTCGTTATACTGCAGTATCTTGAAATTTGAAGATGTGGGGCCCCTTGTTTTTTTTACTCATTTTTTGAGGGGGATGCTGTACTAGAGTTTGAACTCAGGACCTCATGGTTGCTAGGCAGGTGCTCTACCACTTGAGCCACTCCACCAGCCCTGTGGTGTCCCTTGAGATTACACCAGGCAAATGGGTAAAGCAGATCTGGCCCGGGTGTTGTGTGTTGCTAGGCTACCCTGTTTTAGGGAAGTTTAGTGATGGAACTGCAAGAAGACATTGTAGCCCAGAGATTAAGAATACATTCAAATTGCCTAATTTTAACAATTAGTTTCACCATTGGCTAACTATCTGACATTGGGCTAGTGACCTAATCCTTCTGTGCCTTAGTTTCCACATCTATAAAACAGAAATTACTAACCACAGTATTTTTCTAAGGGATAAATAAAACAATATACTTTGTAAAGGATTTGACTCAGTGCCTGGAATATTTTAAGTACTGTGCCATTATCAATTTGAAACTCCTGAAATTTGGAGTTCCTAAGGTTCTAGCTTGATTTTTTTCTCCATTAATTCTACCTCTCACAGATGCAAATCAATCTTATAGTGTTATCTTTTACCTTAATGTGGGTGATTGCTAAATATGACTTATGTCCTTTCTTCCCAAATCTATACTCACAAACTCTAATTGGTATTTCTGTATGTCTTTCATATTCCATATTCTCCCAAATTGCCATCCAGCTAGCTCAGAATCTCAGTCCTTTTTTCTCTCCAGTATGGATCATTCAATTAGTCTTTCTCATTTATTCCTTCCTTATTGTCTTGATTCTTCCTACCAGATTTGATCACCACCTACCTGGGTTACTGGGAAGCCTCCCAGCTAGGCTCTCAGTTGATTGTCCTGTTTCTGCCCCATTCTAGTCTGTCCTATCTACAGCTACCAGATCAACCAAAGCTGTGGTTTCTCTGTCCATTGTTCTGATTTATTTTTACATGTGGTATAATTCTTTTTGTTTTTCCTCTTTGAGACAGGGCCTCACAACGTAGCCCAGGCTGGCCTCAAACTTGTTATGGAGTCCAGGCTGGCCTCAGACTTGCAGTATTCCTGCTTCAGCCTCCCAAGTGCTGAGATTAGAAGTGCGTACCACTCACCCATGTTTATTGCAGCACTATTCACAATAGCCAAGTTATGGAAACAACCAAGATGCCCCACTACTGACGAATGGATCAAGAAAATGTGGTATCTATACACAATGGAATTTTATGCAGCCATGAAGAAGAACAAAATGTTATCATTCGCTGGTAAATGGATGGAAGTGGAGAACATCATTCTGAGTGAGGTTAGCCTGGCCCAAAAGACCAAAAATCCTATGTTCTCCCTCATATGTGGACATTAGATCAAGGGCAAACACAACAATGGGATTGGACTTTGAGCACATGATAAAAGCGAGAGCACACAAGGGAGGTGTGAGGATAGGTAAGACACCTAAAAAATTAGCTAGCATTTGTTGCCCTCAACGCAGAGAAACTAAAGCAGATACCTTAAAAGCAACTGAGGCCAACAGGAAGAGGGGACCAGGAACTAGAGAAAAGTTTAGATCAAGAAGAATTAACCTAGAAGGTAACACACACGCACAGGAAATTAATGTGAGTCAACTCCCTGTATAGCTATCCTTATCTCAACTAGCAAAAACCTTTGTTCCTTCCTATTATTGCTTATACTCTGTCTTCAACAATATTAGAGATAAGGGCAGAATAGTTTCTGCTGGTTATCGAGGGGGTGGGGGAAAGAGGGAGGGGGTGGAGTGGGTGGTAAGGGAGGGGGTGGGGGCGGGGGGAGAAATGACCCAAGCATTGTATGCACATATGAATAATAAAACAATAAAAATTTTAAAAAAAGTGTGTGCCACTATAGCAGTATAATTCATTTTTAAATTTAACATACTACCGAAGAAGATGAGACTTAAAAAAATGATCAGAAGGGGGCATTTACTTTTATAAACAATCAAGAAGCACTTTCAAAAAGCATTGCTTTAATTGCCAAGTCCTTCAGTGGAACTTTGAGGGTGATTGAATGTGTTCATTATCTTGATGGTGGCGATGGTTTCAGGGCTACATATACCAAACTGTATTCTTTGATATGCACAGCTTATTGTATGTCAATACTACGTCAATAAAGTTGTTTTTAGAAAAGAACTTTTCATGGCTTCCTACTCATCATCAAAAAAAAAGCCTAATTCTTCAGTCTGGGATTCAGATTCCCCCAGGGTCTAGCTCCAAATGCCCTTTCCAGCCTTATAAATCATAATTTTCCTCTACATACCCCGTGCTCTATTTAAATGGAACCATTAACTGACACTAGCCTTCTTCTGTTTTCTAAATTTCATATTGCTTTCTTTTAGCTCCACCCATAGATGTCTTTAAGACCCAACTGAACCGTCACCTTCCCCATGAAGGCTATCTAAATAGCCCAAATAAAATGTGACCTTTGCCTGCTCAAACTTTTTTTGCATCACTTTTATGGTTCTTATCACAAATAGCTTTAAATTGTAGTTACTTGTGTACTTGCTATCCCTACTAGAAGGAAGGATCCTTGACTGATAGTTTGTTGCATACTTCCATAGCCTCCCTCTGCTCGTTTCTCTTGCATGTATATGGATATTATAAATATTCATTAAATGAATGAATAAGTGGTTCTTTGAAATGAGACTTTAAGTTTGATTATCTTTGAACAAGATGCCAACCTGTTCAAAGAATGCTGACTTTCTCTTTAAAAAAAAAAAAGTTAATTGCTTCAATCACAAGTTATCAGTTGACCTTTGCCTCTTGGTATTCACTGTGTGGTGTGTAGGCAGGAGACGACAGTCTGCAGCAGGTGAACTGAAAAGCTTGGTGAGATTCAAGAGTGCTGTAGAAACAAGCACTCTTAGGGAACTTTTCCTTCTTCAGACAATGTGAAAACATGACAAATCAAACCAGCTTCATTAGAAGTACTTTATAAGCCTCTTCTGCACCCATTTATAAAAGGAGGGACAAGTCTATTTTGGAGGTGAGGAGGTCATAATTTTGTGGCTTTTTTGAGCTGGACTCCTAACCTCAGAGACCACATTCCTTCCACAATGCTTGGACAACCACTTCCCAGCCTCCCTGAGGGCAAGGCCCATCTGCTTCTGACACAATGGAAGTACTTTGCCAGGGACTAGAAGCATGGACTGTGCCAGGCAAGTGACCTGGCATAATTGGTATAGTGAATAATCAAGTCGAGTGGATTTCTCACCAAAGCCTAACCACATAAAATATCACACTTTGTTACAGCAACTTATTTTAGGTATGCTCAAGACTGTGTAAATTAAGCACTGTGGGTTATACAAAAGAAGAAGACAGTTCCATTGCCTTTAACAAACCTAAAACTGCAGGGAACATTTTCCATGTCCTCTTTGGAACGAGCTCTTCTTTTAAGTAAGCTTATGAGGAACAAGGAACATGGAAGAAACTAAGAAAACAGCTGAATGTAAAGATTTATATTGCAGGGATACCGGCTAAGAAAATCATGGTGAGATGGAGTTAGGGGAAACAATTTTGAAGAAAAAGACTGGGTTTTATTTTCATCTTGGTGAAAATTAGGAGTAAAGGTGAGAAATACCAAAAAAAAAAAAAATAGTGTTGGTAAAATGAACAAAATCTGTGGGTGATGTGGTTGACTAGGTTGGGGAAGGACAGTTGATAGCAAGGGGTTTAGTGACAAGCTGAAGAATCTGAACCTGTTCCCATAGCCTACCTGTAAATAATTTGATTCTTTAACATTAAAGTGAAGTTTCAAGACTTTTCATTGAACTTTAGTTGCCAAGAAGATACTAGAACGAAAGATAAATAGATAGGAGGATGCTCTAAGAACGTATTTGCTACCGGGTAACACCTGAAAACGGGAATGGTGGGTAGCATGGGAATGGAAAAGACAAACTGAATTTAAATATGTCAAGGAGAAAGGGCCAATGGACCTCAGTGACCGCGAGAGCAAGCTTACAAAGGAATGAGTGGTTCACAGATAACACAAAGCCCATATTAAATCAATGGCCTTGGGATGGAGGGAAAGGCAAAAGTGAAACCAAAGCTAAGATGGGGTAAGTGGGTTCTCCAGGGTAAAACATGCCCCCTCACAGAGAGCAGGATGTGCTGAGAAACTGGAGTGTTTTTCCTATTGACTAGTTTATCTTCCCTTAATCATCGCCCCTGAAACTCTCCTTGAAGTTTTTCGTCATCTACTGCCTAATCTCCATGACACTGATGTTTCCCCTGACACTGGTACCCTCCCCTCTTGGAGCAGGTGACTGTGCCAGCACTCCTCGGTTGTGTTTTTCCTTTTGAACACATGACGCAGCAGTGAGATGTGACTCCTTCTTTACTCCTCCAGGTTCTCCTGTGCAATTCACTTCCTACAGCTCATTCTTGACGGTCTTTTATTGCATGGAATTACTGTGTACACTTATGGTTTATGACAGACTGTTTTAAGTGTTTCATTGTAAATTTTTCTTTTAGATATTTGCCAACCTTTTCTGCATGGCTTATTTTCCCTCCTTAGCTTTTGATCGTCCCACACAATACAAATGAGTCAAACACCTGTCTCCATTGAACAGCATTATGCTGCTACTGTCCTATTGCTGTCCAGAATCTGTAGAAGGAATTATGAAATTTCTATAGTAGTTTAGACTTGTTAAAGATAAAACAGAAAGTTTTTTTGTTTTCTCCTTCAGTTTGTTTTCTGCTCGTTTGAGTGGTCTGCTCAGGAAATGGCCTTGTAGCAAAGTAGGTTTTTGAGGTTTAGTTATTTTGCAATTTTTTTTATACTTTGGATTTTACAGTAGAGTAAACTCTTAAGAATTGCTGCTTGCTTTTAAAAAAAAATTCTCCAATTCTAATAAGACACTACTAACAGTTTTTTAGACCTATGGTGAACAGAGTACGGCAGCATTTAAGAACATTTCTCTTGTATTTACTTAGACCTCTTCCTTTCCTAAGAAGAAGCAAAAAAGTAAGAAATTGCTCTGAAATACAGACTTGAGGAAAATAGGCCCAAGTTTTATTTCATTAGTCACATTTTGCCTATCTAAAGATTTATATGGCAGGGATTCAATGGAGTTAGGGTAAGATGGCATTCATTATTAATAAAATTCTGGTTTTGATGGAAGTGAGGCCATTCTAAGGGGACAGAGAAATTATAAAACCATTTCTCTTATTTTCCCAAACACAGAAAATCACTTTCTAGGATTTTGCTTTACTATTCTGCAAATAAGCAACTTAGTGTGGAATGGTTTATTTTTATAAACATTCAAGTCTATCTCTTCAGTTCTGAGGTGCTTTATTAACTGGGGAAGATTTTTTCCCCACCATATGCTGACTTGCTCAGATGGCATACTGAGCCCTTAACCTATTGCTTTGCATTTAGTGGGTAGTCAAAAAATTTGTTGAAAAAATTAGTGGATTTTAGTGCTTTTCCCAACAAATATTGTTGAAGAATTACGGTTCATTTTAATTTATGTGGACTGGTACTGAAATTTTTTATTTGGAATATTGACTTCAAGTTACCTATCACCAAGATATCTCAATGACCTTTCTTTGGGCTCAAAAAAGAGGATTCAGTCTCTTTAGCGTTCAGAATCAGAATCTCCTGAAGGAAGTCTGAATAAAGTTGCAAAATCAGAATGGATTGCTAATATCTTAAATAGAGGAAGCCCAGCATATTGCCCAGTTTTCTTCAGGATTGCTTCAGACTAATTTTATTAACACATTACTTATGGAACTTCTGCCCTCAAAGAAAGATATATTCACTTGGGGGTGTCCTCACTGAATTATATCTTGGGTGGATTTGTACCCATTGAGAATTTATGCAAATTGAAATGCAGAAGCTTTTTCTAGAACAGCCTGCTTGTCACAGCTAAAAGAACACAAACACAGGATGGCTTCCTCAAACAGTATCTTTCCCAAGACATTGGTTGCAGGATAGAAATGTCTTCTACAGAAATAGTTCTTGAAGCTTTCTTTTTCCTTTTTTGAGAGCACATGGAGAGGTCTCACTTTATTTCCAGGCTGCCTTGAATGCCTGGGCTCAAGAGACCCTCTTGCCTCAGCCTCCTGAGTAGCTGGGACTGCAAATGCATGCAACTGTGCCTGGTTCTCTTCAGACTTTCTGACCTAGAATCTATACTGCTGTCAGGAAGGTGGTTGACTTCTTTACTTTTTGTTCCTTCACTGTTTACCAGCAGTACATTCTGGGAACACTGTGCTAACTGCCTTCTTGGGTGCTCTTGATGGGGGGCCATTTGCTCCTGGTCATATATATATATACCAGCATTCTCAGTCTTTATATTCAGGACCCAAGTGAAGCTCAAAGAGCTGTTGTGGGTTTCAAGAGGTGCAGAAATCAATACTTCCCTTAATGGAGGTCAGCACTTCCCCAGCCCTGAGAAAGACACAGACTATAAGCAGCAGCTAACTTCATTTCATTTAAAAGAGAAATTGACTCTATATGGCAAACTTAAGAGTTCTGAATAAAAATGCCTTCTCTGATGAACAGAAGTTTGACATTGATTGCACTGACAAGAAACTTTTGGGATAACAGTCTAGGTAGGAGATGTATAATTCTAAACAGTGTCTGTCTTTTTTGGTGTAGGGTTCATTTGGGACATAAGAAAACAGAAATGTAAGGAAACACATTGTGCACAATGGGGCAGTAAGAGAGGCAGAACTTAATCATTAGACCTGTAGTTCTGCCTTTTCTCTGGGAAGCATACAGAAAGATGAATTTTGCCTAAAGATGATAGAGGGGAACATTTTCAGAGCTCAGCAGACCATGTTATGTTCTGGTTAGCCTCGTGTTTGTTAAAACTTGAATTGTAACCAGGTTCCTTTGTTGAGAAGGAAGGCACTAGGGCCCTGGAGTGAGATGCTGGCTTTGTTGTGTGACCACAGAGGCTGGTTTCGTACTAATTTCCTCTAGGGCTTGTGATGAAGTCAGTAAACCACAGCCTTCAGCATGCTATGCTCAAGCAGCAGCAGAGGCTTCTTCGTGGTGTCTCAGCCATGACACACATTTGACATGCCCTCCCTCAACCCTCTCACAGACTGTTTCTCTTGCACTCCAGAATGGACCAAAGAGAAATTCTGCAGAAGTTCCTGGATGAGGCCCAAAACAAGAAAATTCACAATGAGGAGTTTACCAGTGAATTTCTGGTGAGTCCTGTGTGTGACACTCCTGGAGTAGTTACATACATGATTTAACTGACTACTGTAGTCCTACTCTCTGAGACCAAATCGCTTTTCAGATAGAGAATATCAGATTGGAGGGGAAGAAAGGAAGAAGACAATCTAGAAGTTTGATTTCCCTGGGTGGTTTGTGTGTAATTTAGGTATTGTGTCAAAAATACTATTTTTAACATTTGGTTTGTTGGTTCTTCCTATAGAAAGTGTATTCAACTCCAGATGGATAAATGCTAATATTAGTTGAAAATCTGGAGTTCCCTAGGTATTTGAATTATGATTTATGTTTCAGATTATTAATTTTAATTAAATTTGAGAGGAAAGAGACTAAGATGAACTTTTCATGGAATATTATGATTTTTTATGTATGTGATGGGACTCAGGTTTGAATTCAGGAACATTATGATTTTAGTTTCCCCACTGGATTCCATTTGAAGAACTCCAAAAACTACCCAGTGCCACTTTTTCTCCTTTTTTTTCTTTCTTCTGCAAAAAAGTATTAGAACATGTGTCTTTGTAATAACAGGGTTTCCTTAGGAGAAGAGCTGGACTAGCTAGGGTGGAGAGTAGAGACAAGTGAGGGACACAGAGAGAAACTGAGTGCAAGGTAGTGTCAGGACTGGTGGATTTGGTCACCCAGAGGAATCATGCACTTCCTCTGAGGGAGCTATGGTTGTTGATGCAATGGAAGCTGGGGAGGCCTCATTCACTCTGTAACTGGGCACATCAGTTAACACAGGGTGTCAGATAGTACCTACCATGTGTTTTGGAATGCTTCCAGCTGGTGATTCAGAGTTTTAAACACACTAAGCCTCAATTTTTTAGTGGTAAAGAGCAGGAAAAAAACCAAGAGAACTAATTTTGTCATCAACTAAATTATCTACTATTTGACATGTTCCTTAATCTCTTCCAATCTTTGTTTTCTAACTTATAAAATGGGGATACGAATTTATGTCATACCTATTCTCTCAGGATTGTTGTGATGATTAAACGTCAATAATTAGAACTAAATGGGAGCCAGGTGCAGTGGTGCATGACTGTAGTCCCAGGTACGTGGGAGGTTGAGATAGGAGGATCATGACTTTGAGGCCAGCATAGGCAATTTAGGGAGACTTCATCTCAAAAAAGGTTATTCAGAAATATTTAGTGAACACCTACTAACCTACTTTATACCAAATTTGATTCCTGACACTAAGAGTACAGTAACAGACAGTCATCTTTGCTTTCCAGAGCTAACATTCTGGCACTAAATAGTGGATATGAAAACACTCCATGTAGTCTCCAGGGGTCAGATATTACTATTGACTGATTAGCTATGTGATGGGCTATCATATATCAGCTCCACTTGGATAATATTATGGTCAGTCAGGTAGTCAGAGTGCTCTGGGTAGAATTACCACAGAGGAGGTAAGGAGGAAGTCCTAGCACATGTGTCTGTTTAGATGTGTGCTTGCCTTTGGATTATAATTCCAGAGCCAAATTCACCAGAGGCGAAAAGGGAACGAGAGGCAGTGCCATCCTCTGCTTTATTTTAGTTATTTGTTTTTTTTTTTTCATATATTACAGGCTACAACCCTAATATTTTACTCTTTAAGTTCAGGTTCTTATAATCTTCCACCAAATTATTTTTTACTTCCTGTCTGATTTCTCTGCTTCTAGTCTGCCCCACTTTTTTTTGTTTTGGGTGGTACTAGGGTTTGAACTCAAGGCCTCAAACCTCAAGTTTGCTAGACAGGCGCTCTACCAGTTGAACCACTCCTCCAGCCCAGTTTTGAGTTCATTTTTTTTCACTTTGAGATGGGGTCTTGCGAACTATGTGCCCGGGCTGACTTTGAACCATGATCTTCCTGATCTCTGCCTCCCAAGTAGGATTTCAGACATGAGCCACTGGTGCCTGGCTTTTGCCCCACCTTTAACTTTCTATTCAACACCCAAGTGATCTGTTAATAATGCAAATATGGTCTTGTTTTCCATGATAAAGAATTTTAAATAGTTTGTATTTTTTAGTTGTTTACAATTGTGAACTATAATACATAGTTAGAAAAGAGCATAAAATATATAAGTACAAATATAAAGCAACCACTACCAATGCAACCACAACCCAAGGCAAGAAATAGAGCACTATCAGACCCTAAAAGAGCCCTATATGTCCCTTCCCCACCAGGCTTCCATGCTCCACCCACCCCACCCCGCCCAAGGGATAATCATGATCCTGACTTTTTATTAATCACTTCCTTGCTTCTCTAGCTCCTAAATTTAAGAACCTTGTTTTTTGGGTAGTGATTAAGTGGAACCTCACTGTTCACTGACTCATGTCCTCCAGTGGAAAAACAGTCTTGCCCTCAGCGCCACCTAAACATTCAGCTGAGACACCACAGTAGCTTTGGGGAGTGGGGGTTGGGGGTGAATGGAGCCAGATTGCTGGCTTGGACAATGAAAACACTGACAGTAAACTGGAGGGCTTTCCTTCTGCTCATGTCCCGTGTTCCACCTCAAGCCTAGTGTATTCTCCCAGGACTTGATGTTTCCATGGTTTGAGGACTAATTCTGTGACACAAGGCCACTGCCAGACTAGCCTAAATGGTGGTGCGTTCATGAGAATTACAAAAGGCATTGCTACTTTTGGGTAAATGCCCACCCATAGGTTCATGGTTCAAATTTCAGTCCCCACTTCTGCCTTGGCCAGGTCTCTCGTGCAGAACTCAACATTCATCACTGGACGTGGCACCCAATGCCATGCTGCTTAGGTCTTTCCCCATGCAGGGACTAAATGCAATACTCTTTCAGTGGCATGCTGTTCCCCTCCCTCAAACGTTCCTCACATTCCTCTTTACCTGTTTAACAGATAATAATTTTTTAGATTTCAATCGGTGGGTACATCCTCAGAGAATCCACCCTCCCTCCTTCCCGTTCTTCCTCTTCTGGTAGGGCGGCAAGCGTTCTACCAGTGAACTACATTCTTAGCCTGGGGAAACCTTTTGTCACCTCCTTGAATAGATCAAATCTATTATGTTCTTATCAGCACCACCTTGTTGTAGTTCATAGAACTGATCACAATTCCATTTTTACCTCTATTTGTCTATTTGGTTAACGCCTGCTTCCCTATCAGACTGAAGCTTCACAAAGGCAGCATGCATATTTAGTTCTGGTTCATTTGTATCCTCCATGCCTTGTACAATGTTTGGCATGCAGTTGACTGTGAGGCACAGACAGGTAAAGCGATTGACTTAAAGACACACAGCTCATAAGTTGTGGAACTAGGATTTGACATAAAGCTATCTAATTTTTGAGACTGTGCTCTTAGTACTCTCCACCTCTGCTATACTGCCTCCAATTTATCCATTGACCTTAATTTTTTAAACTTTGAAAATTGCAAAATAGAACATGCATTAAAGCACAGGTATACAATTTAACCATTTGTAATAAAGCAGGTCCCCATATAAGCACCATTCAGATCAAGAAATAAAACATCATCCACACCACAGAAATCCCCTGAATGTCCCTCTAAATAACTCCCCACCCTTTACAAGATTAGAAGTAAATATTGTACTGATACATTTTTCTTTGCTTTTCTACATTACTTTAATATCTATCTATCTATCTATCATCTACCTATCTCACTTAGCAATAGACATTGATTTTCATCTGCTTTTGAATTATATGTAAGTAAAATCATGTTAAATGTGTCATGTCATACTGCTTTGTAAAATTCATCAATTTTGTTGCATATAGGTGGGCCTTAGTTTTTTTCTAATCTTTCTTATGAATTCTGCCAAGCCTTAGTCCATGCAATTGCTGTTGTGATCACAGAGAGCGTCAAAGAGGTCAAGTGGTCACTCAGGTTGGCATTGTCCAGTTTGAATCACCACAGTCCAGTTTTTAGCTTTGCTGTTCTCAAATTTCAATTTTATTACTATGCCCACTGTTTATCAGAATCGGGCAACTGGCTTGCAATAACCAAACACACAAGAAATTCACCAGAAAGTCTATCTATCTGTTTTTCAAGGGAGAAAAGTAACTGTCAGAGTTGAGGTTTGCACTTGACTAGCCAGTTTATTGTCTACTTACGAAGGAAAATATGAAAAGCCATCTAGAATCAGACAGTGCTTGATGAGCATGGTGACTTTAGTGGCCTAACTATGATGGTTTGATGTCTCTATCTCCTCATTGGAACCTTCAGGGTGGTGGCAGCACTCTTTTCTGGACAGTAGTAGGGACATAGTGACAAGTGCTTGCTGCCTTAGTTTCCTTCTTCCAAACTTCCATCTACATGTTCTTTATCAGATAGTTTGCAATTTACAAGGACTGCTACCCTCTCTGACCAGTTTCTGCAGCTGATTTTGGTCTTATGACATGTACATTCCAGCCACTGTAGTATATATGGGTTAAGGGTTCGTTGAGTATTATGTGTGGCTCAATTTTGCTGCATGTGTTTATATATAAACAAATATCTGTTTATTGGATATCTATATTTGATCAAAGATTGGTGGGAATACAGAAATATGAATATGGATAGGGCACTTTGATTATAGTATATCTTTTTCCTTAAAAATATTTTGGAGAGAAGTCCAAATAACAAAAATACCACCAATATTACCTTACCTATTAAATGGACCCATATTTAAAACATTATAATTCTAATGTTGGCCAGAATTTAAGCAATCTCATAGATTACTTGTATAACCTTTGTAGGTTATACAAGGCAAAATTTATTGTTTCAGATATATATATTTGGTAATATGTAACACGATCTATTATAATGAGCAAATTCTTTGACATTTCCTAAGAAACTATCTGAAGAAAATAATGAAAGATATTTATAGTTTGGCCACACAGTGTAGTGTTCTCATAATTATGAAATACCAAAAGTAACTTAAATATCCAACAGTATAAAGAAACAAGTTATGTAACTTAGATTGTACTACATTCTACAATGGAATACTCTGCCACCATTAAAAACAATGCAGAAGCCA